GGGTGGGTGTATTTTTCACATGGGAGGGATGTGAAAAGCAAAGATTGGGGCGTGGTGGACCAACTGCCAAGAAGGCCACCAACAGTTCCTCTCACCCTGTATTCACATGCTGTTTCTCTTAGTGTGTGCCAGCTTAGTCGCTCAGTCACATTCAACGCTGCAATCCTATGGACTGTGGCCCGCCAGGTTCCTCTGTCCATGGGATTCTCCAGGCAAGAATACTGGAGTGGGTTGCCGTTCCCCTCCTCCAGGGGATCTTCCTGACCCAGGGATCGAACCCCTGTCTCCTGCGTCTCCTGCACTGCAGACAGATTCCTTACCACACTGAGCCACCTAGGAAGCCCCTGTTCCTTCTAGTGAGATGAAGTCTGTTTTACACCAATGTTTGTAACAGCCATTTATTTATTATTCATAATAGTTCAAAAGCAAACATCCATCAACTTACGAAAGTATGAATAAAATATGGAATACCCATACAATATTATTTGGCAAAGGAATGGAGCACTGATACTTGCTACAACGTGGATGAACCTTGAAAACATTACACTCAGTAAAAGAAGCCAGTCATAAAAGACTACATATTACATGATTCAAAGTTCAGCACAGACAAATCTACAGAGACAGAAAATAAATTAATGGAGGAGGAGATTTAAGGATATGGGGAGTAATTGCTAAAGGGTCTCTCTTCAGGGTGATGAAAATGTTCTGGAATTAGTGGTGATGGTCACACAACTCTGTGACTACACCAAAACCCACGGACTGTACACTTGAAGTAGGGTAACTGTATGGTATGCTAATTGTATCTAAACAAAACTGTTACCAAAAAAGCAGAAGTGGGGAAGATGGCATCTATTTCTCCTCCTACTGAACCTGGCCAGCCAGCCTTTGAGCAACAGGATACAGGGTTAGGCAGTGCCAATTCTGGGCCTCACTATTAAAAGCCAGGCAGCTGCTACTTTCACACTCTTGAAGGACAGGGAGATGTGCAGAGAGAGGCCTCATGGAGGTAAGCGAGGTCTTGGTCATGTGAGTGAGGTCGTCTTGGACATTTCAGCTCCAGCCAGGCTGACAGCTGAATTAAGTCATGCAAGTGACCCCAGGAGAGATCCCCTAAAGCCAACTCACTGAACCATGAGAAATAATAAATCACTGTTGTTTTAAGCCACTGAGTTTCACAGTGATATGTTATACAACAGTAACTGAAACACAACCTCTCTGAGCCTCATTTTCCACTGTAACGTGGGACTAATGCCAGAGGATCATTGTGACAATCATGTGAAGCTAACGCCAATGCAAGAAATATTAACTATTATTATTATTATTATTACAAATCATCCCTGGATACCCTTGACATACTGCAGGTGTGCTCCCCAGGAAAGCCTCATTCTCACAAACACCTGCTCCTTCTAATCACGTGGTTTCCAAAAAGCTGGTTTGCTGAGGAAAACAAAGGCTTAAACAAAATACAATATCTGAGAAAATGAAATTTCAACTATAAACAGACTACCAAAGAAGGGTCTGCTTAGATCAGTCATCTATCCACCTTCTTGTACACTCAACACATCTTTATTCAATTCTTACTAATTACCAAACATCAATTAAGAATAGCTAAGACTCCCTCCAGCTCATCTGGTAAAGAATCTGCCTGCAATGCAGGAGACCTGGGTTTGATCCCTGGGTTGGGAAGATACCCTGGAGAAAGGAAAGGCTACCCACCCCAATATTCTGGCCTGGAGACTATACAGTCCATGGGATCGCAAAGAGTTAGACATGACTGAGTGACCCTAGAATAATTTCCACCTAGCTGGCTGTTAACAGAATAGACTACACACTAGAACTTCAGCTGAAAGATGGCATATGCAGCAGTAGATACATCTAAAATCATCCTGCTAGAGAAAAAAAAAAAAAAACCCTTTAAATTTCTGCAGAGCGCTCAAATTCTCGTGCTTAGAATATAGGCCCAAAGAATGATTCTGACTGAGGATCCCAGGAGTAACAGAGAGAAATAAATGAAACGGGTTTCCTAAAGGTGCATCCCTTAGTGAGGAGGGTCAGAGGGTCCCATTCACAGAATCTGGAACCCCCAGAACCCAGGCTGAGAGAGGACTTTACCATCTGACATCACCTGCCAAGTCTGGTGCAGAATGGGTACAGGCAATTAACAATACCCAGGCTGATGTCAGTGAGAAATCCTGTAGAGAAGGATGTTCAACAGCTTTCAACTGCATTTATGAAATCATGACAAATTGATAACACTGAACTAAAAGAACCTTTTAATCCTAAGAACAATTAAGATCCTATTTTTTCCTCAAAAATGCTGACATAATATTAACACCTAAATGACACCAAAGGTAAGAAAAAGGGCCAAACCCATGAATATTTTCTGCATGAGGGAAGAAGGTCCACCGAGCCCAGGAAGCACTTATTCTAGACAAGCTCTGGAACGTTCCAATCCGCTGAATGCTACTTAAAATCAGTACAAACAATACAGGCCCGGAAATACTTGGAAGGGCCTGTATTGCTACACATATCTTTCATCCACAGGCCAGAAGGGCTCTGGTGAAAGATACAACCTAGGGAGGCACTGGACTGAGTCTACTGTTTAATACAAATGCTGGGCTGACTTTTTTTTATTTACATATATACTAAAGTGCACAGATATTGTGAGACTTGAAAAATGTTTATACCCAGATTAAGATAAAAAAAATACTCCTAATACCCAGAAGGTTCCCTGTGCCCTTCCCAGTCAATAACAAACCCCACCCTAGCCCCCCACTCCACTATTTTGATCTCCAGAACCACAGGTTAGTTTGGCTTAGTCTTGAATTGCACATAAACAGGTCTTTTCAGACTGCCTTCTTTAATTCATCACAGGGTTACCTTATTTTGAAACAGAAACCAAGAAACTGAGCTTTACTTTCAGGAACTCCCCCTCTGATGTCACAGACCTGGAGATCAACTATTCTGATTATACTGGTTGTACTTCCTGAACTCCTCCAAGCACATGTTGTAACACTTTAAAACAGAAACAGAACCTCGTATTGTAAAAGTTTTCCTTCAAAATAAACTAAATCTTTTAAAGGTATTCAAATCTATTTAACCTTAATATAGCCTCTGACTTAATACCATAAAAGTGTAATCTTTCCCATACTGAGCCCACAACTCCTCTTTAACCTATTTTTCTTCCTTGGTATCCATCCATTCTAAAGAACCCTCATATTCTGAAATAAAAAGAACCTTCAATTCTGTTACTACTTTCGACTAGTAAGGGGTTAAACTATAAAATTTAATCTTAGGGGTTAAACTATTAAACCTTAGGGGTTAAACTATAAATTAACCTCAGAAAATCTCTGAGGCAGCTTAACATTCTAAAATTCAGACGAATGTGGCAGTTCAGAAAAGACAGGAGAGGGACAACAGCAATAAGATACAGGTACAGAGTCCACAGTTAACCTGTCAGGATTCAGATCTGGGCTCTGCCATTTCTAGCTGGGTGGCCTTGGGCAAGTCATTACTCTACTCTGTGCCTCAATCACTTCACTGTAAAACGGGAATAACCTCGTAAGACTGTTGCAAGGATTAAACGTGAATGTATATAAAGCTCTTAGGAAAGCAACTGGCACATAATGAGCACTCAGTAAGAATAAGCTATATTCAAAAGCTGAAAGCTCTAAGAGAGTAACTATTCTGCAAACCAAAAGGTTACAGAACAGTCACAGTAGTCACCCAGACATGTAGCACAGTGCTTCTCAAGATGTTTCCTTTCCTAACCTTTCACAGACTGCTACTTTTTGTAAAATGCAAGATTACAGGCTTGAATGTCACAGCAATGTCAAACTGTTTTCAAGGTTTTTAGATATTTACTCTTACTTTCTGTATTTACCTCATGGCAGCCTGATAGCCGCTCACGGACTGGCCCTTGTCTCCAGAGTAAACTTTGAGAAGCACTGTTCTAGCACACAACAAGGACTACAAGCCTGCTGACAACTCAGCTAGCAGGTTACACAGAATTATGAAACCATATTAGCAAAGAAAACCAACCCCAATAGCAGTGGCAAGAGGATGACTTGAGGGTCAACAAGTTGAGAGATAAAATAATCCCAACAGGGACTTCCCTGGTGATCCAGAGGTTAAGACTATGCACTTCCACTGTAGGGGTCTCGGGTTTGATCCCTGGTCAGGGAACGAAGATCCCACATCCACACTGTGTGGCCAAGAAATAAATACAAATAAGCATGTATTCATATACTACTTCAATAAAAAGATTATATTTAAAAAAAAATCCCAACAGGCTGAACTTGGAAAACAAAATTGGCTGCCAGAGCAAGAATCCAACTGATACTTTGCCCCCACTCACTGCTTGAGGAGGTGCCCTCAGAAAACATGTCGGCCAGGAAGTCATCAGCCCCACAAGGGGTCAACAGATGTGAAGGAAGGAAGCAGAACTGATTCAACTCTCCTGAGTTAGAAGCCAACCTATGCAGTCACCAAGCTTTGGGAATGTTAACCACAGCACGCAAAGGCCAGGGTTTCTCCTCTGCCAAAGAAAACATGCAAACATTTCCTTTGGTGACGTGGGACTGCACACATGTGCACCCAGGTACACACATACAGTCGTCCCTCAGTGTCCGTGACGACTTACTTGTTCTAGGACCCACATAATACCAAAACCTGTGGTGCCTTGAGTGCGTTATATGTAAATACTTCATATGAAAGGTATTTACATATAACCTACACATGTCCTTCTATATACTTTAAATCATTTATAGATTATTTATAACACCCAACACAATGTAAATGTTGTTTAAATAGTTGTAAATGCAACATGAATGTTATGGAAGTAGTTTCTAGAGTGCAGCAAACTCAAGTTCTGCTTTTTGTAAATTTCCAGAATTTCTTTCCCCAAATATTTTCAATCTGGTGGTTGGCTGAATTCATGGGTGCGGAACCCACAGATACGGAGGGCCGACTGTACACCCACCCCACTCACATCACAGTACCTGTGGTTTTAGGAGGCTCCTGAGGTCCGCCCTGCCAGCCGTACTGTGGGTATCCTTGGTAGGGGTACCCGCCCTGAGGAGGTGGGTAGGGTCCCCCTGGAGGTCCTGGAGGGTAGACTCCAGGCCCCATCGGTTGTGATGGATAAGGGGGATATGGGGCCGTAGGACCAGGGCCCGGATACGGCGGAGGGTTCCCTTGGTTCATCAGGGACCTGCAGAGTACACCTAGGAGACAAAACAGTGAAAGTTATTTGTTTTTAACCTGAGGAAATCATTAGAAAAAAACTGTAATCATGAAACAATTTACAAATTGCCTTAGAGATATCCTAAACCTCTTGTACACTTTCAGCTCTGGCCACTTTGTTTTCTTCTCACCACTGGCAAACATCTTATGTATCTGATTGCTTTTTGTCTGCCTGCCTCACTAGACGACAGGCTATGACAGCAGCAGTCAAGCCAAACAGCCGTGCCAGCACTAAGTGACCAGGCATGGGGTAAGGGTTGCTCCTGCCTGGGCACGGGTGACCTGGTTGCTCTCCCCAGAACCAGAGCAGTGTGCTCGGCTGTCACCGTGCCAAGGGTAGAGCTATTTACAGAGGATGCCAAGCATCTTCTCTGACCATCCAGGCTCCTAGGACTCTGGAGGGCTCACCAGGAACCCCCACTGTTTTATAGTTCCTATTCTGGGTGCTTTGCTTCCTTGAGGGAGGCCATTTCCTCCCAGCCCCGAGAGCCTTTTATCCATTTTCTTGATTTGGCCTGAAGTCTGGAGGGGGTCAGCATCTCCTTTCTATCACCTCTGTAGCCCCTGAAGTGCATGATCAAGGACTTCCTGATTAAAAGCATTACTGAGGAATGCAAAGTCCATACACTCTGGATAAATCTGATACTGTCATCTTGCTGCCTTGTACTGTCACCCCTCTTCTGTGGTGATATGTAACGTTTTACCTATCTAAGTTAATAAAGGAAAGAGTCTCATGCTCAAAATTTAATAATTTCACCATTAATTCTTCATAACATGCAATCAATAAATTCATAAATGACCCTAAAAAAAGAAGAGAACAGCTTCTTATAAAGTAATAAATACTCACTACTTTAAGTAATAAATTACTTTTCTTACTTATAAATAAAGTAAGGCTCCCTAAAAAATATGGATTAAAAGAGTGGACTTTGCTGGCTGCCCACACAACAACCATATCCCCCTTCATAATAAGTCAGATTTCCAGGTACGGATCCATTCTTTCCTCCTGCAGTTCATGTGCTTCATAGGAAGCTCATTCCTTTCTAGCTCCAGGGTAAACCCAGTCTAACCTAAGGCAATCCAGGTCACCCTTTCCTCTTTTCCATCAAGACTGATTCAAGGAATTTAGGACTAAGCCAATCACAAATGGCAACCCTTGGCCACTCGGATTATTTCTAAAGTGGTTTGATCAGTTAAAATCTTAGGGCTCTCCAAACACGCTCCCAAACTTCCTTTTGCCTTAACATAGGCAAACACATAGTCCAGCAAGGACATGGGCTACAAACTGCTGACAGCCAATCTTCAGCCCTGAGGGGGTCACCAGCCTTAAGATGAAGCAGGTACTTCAGAAAGGTATAGCAGAAAGAAGGAAAGAAATGGAATTCCAGATGACTTTATAATAGCTCATAAATCAGACTGAAACCCAACCTAACCTAAGCTACCTCTGCAGAATTTCCAGTGCGAGGAGCCACCAGTACGGTAAGCTAAGGAACCCCTGAGTGACGTCCAAGCAAGCAGACATTTATGTAGTGCTGACTGTGCCTGGCACTGGTCTAAGAAGTGGGGTATAGAAATGAACATGGTTCAAATCCTTCCCTGGACAATGGGTTAAAAAGAGAAACACAAGGATGGTGTTTTTTAGAATAGGTGGTAAAGAGACTATTGGGCTGGAGTAGGGGCTTAAACCCAGTGGGAGGAGGTGTGAGTGAGGAGACTGTCATTTGAAGGAGGTGATAATAAACTTAAACTTTATAATAAGGAGTCAGAATGGCTGGAAGCTCTCTCTTTTGACCACATCTGCCTTCTGTCTCCCATTCTTCTTTTTCCAGGGGCCTAACAGGGATTCAGAAAAGAACAGGAGTTCTTTCCCCTCTTTGCTCTCTGGCCTACACCAACATGGCATCATACTCTGACCTGGGAATGACTTTCCCTTTAACCTAAGGCAAAGGCCAGTGGTGACTAACACTGCAAACATCATGTGAATCTGAGCATACTTTTTTTTTTTTTGTAACCAAAACTTTAATCCCAAGGATTCTCACAAAACATATTACAAATGACAGCATGAAAAAAGAATCTTGCACAGTAACTCAGTTCAGCTCTACAATGTACCCTTAAACAGGCAGGACATTTGTTTCTTGAGTATCTCAGATTTCCAAATAAAGAACGTTACAAAGAGCTATGTATTCATATACAGCAATCACAGAAGGAACTTACAACCTAAAGCAAAGGTAAACTAACTTCCTTGAAACTTCTTAGATTCTACACCAACTGGACAACCTTTTGTCCAGTGTGAAGACTAGTGGGATTTTTAAACTTCTAATCTGGTTTAAGGGTGAAGCTTTAATTTTTCCAGCTGGTTTCTGAGTTCACAGCAGCTTTTAAAAACTGCTTAACTACAGCTACATACCATATCCCAGCTATGTTGAAAAAAATATTCCAATTTTTGCCAGTTTTTATTTCCATAATGTTACAAACATTGACTTTAGCTGGGAAGGAGTTAAGAGGTTTATTATCAGCCTATGCAAGACCAAAATTCAAAGCAAATTAAATTTTGCTTAAGGGAACATTGTAAAGTAACAATTCTTGATATTACATGCCCCATATGATCCATTTCAAACCATAGATAATTATTCGAGGGCGACAACCCCAAGAAGGAGGTGGGCCACGATTACGACTTCTCTTTTCACTATTCGATGGTTCCACTCTTACTCGGCAGCCACACAGTGTTCTCCCATCTAGCTCTCGGACAGCATCAGCTGCATCTCGGGGATCTTCAAATTCAACAAAAGCAAAGCCGGGAGGGTTTCTAGCAACCCACACACTTCGGAGTGGTCCGTAATAGCCAAAAGCTCGTTCCAATTCAGTCTTATTACCATTGTTTCCAAGATTACCTACATAAACTTTACAGTCCAATGGACAGGAATCACGATGCATTTCGAGATCTTGGGTTAGAAATGCGGAGGTCCAAATCCACAGAACCTAGGCTAGGTCTTCTCAGTCCCCTCCCGCCCAGCGTTCCCGGATGCTCTCGCACACCCGGCGTCCACGAAATGGCGGTGAATCTGAGCATACTTAACTGCTGACTACTTATGCATTTCCTCTCTCCTACCTGGAAGGTTGTGGTAAACCTAGTGAGCCCTGGTTAATACAGAAATCAGTCTTATTAATCCCCTATGGTTATTCCATTAGTTATTTTTTAAGTCACAGAAGTAGAATACAGTCATCATAACTATTCTTTCCTAAAATTCAGTGTGTGTGTGTGTGTGTGTAAGGGGGGTGGGGCCAGTGGGTATCCTCTGAATTGACCTAATTCCATCAAAACTGTAGTTTAATAACTTCATTAATCCAACAAAACCCTGTAATAATGATTGTTCTTCCTCTGAAGACACTGCCCTTCTAAAAACAATGAGCAGTGAAAAGGAAAAGAGAACGAAGTATTTAGAAATATCACAACCTCTCACACCTCAATGTTTCATGACTTTTCTTGATTGATTTCTGTGTATGTATTCCTCACTATTCCTGGAACCTTCAAAACTCTCTCAAACAAATGTGTCTTCCCCTTTCTCCCTCAATCATGCTTCCCCCTCGTTTTTAGTGCACATCTTTCTCCTTCTGCCTGAGAAATTGCTCGATGTCTGGGGTTGGGGGGAACCTCATGTGCTACTCAGAGGCACTTATAAGAGGATAAACCAAACAATGCTCTACTGTCATGACCCAACCCTACCACACACTCCGTCCCTGTGTTCCCAGAACACAATCATCTTAGGGCAATACAACCTGGATTTTCAGTGTCCTCCAGGCAGGAAAAAAATTCCAGTAAGAGAACAGCAAAAATCACAGAAACTCCATCTATATTGAGAGCAAAGATTCCAGAGCTGGCATCTGAAAAGCAGGAGTTCACCCAGTGGGAATCAATTGTTCCCAAAATTGCACAGAAGCAAACCCAAGTAAAGAAAGATTCCCTCACATTAACACAGTCTAGTACAAACCATTTAACATAACCAAAATATAAATGAGCCTTAAATTTAAGGTATGATACAAAACTTTAAAACATGAATTTTTCCCTTATAAATCTGGTCAGGTGAAATGTAAGCACTGCTATAGGAGAGTGTGTTATACTGAAGATCAAATGTAAACAGTGGAAACTGTAGCATTAAGGACAATTCACAGCTCCAAAAGAGACAGCTCAAATCAAGCAGCAGCCAGGATCAATTAAGACTGCATTGGGGACCTCCCTGGTGGTCCAGTGGTTAAGACTCTGTGTCTCCAACACAGGGGACATGGGTTCAATTCCTGGTCAGGGAACTAAGATCCCATATGCATGCAAGGCCAAATAAATAAATTTTTTAAAAATTTAAAAAAAGAAAAAAAAGACTGCATTGAATCCACCTAAAAAAAAAGAATTCAGAGTAATAACAGTAAATATGATCCAAGGTCTTGGAAAAAGAATGGAGGCACAGATCAAGAAGATATAAGAACTGTTTAACAAAGAGGTAGAAAATCTAAAGAATAAACAGAGATGAACAATAACTGAAATGAAAAACACACTAGAAAAAATCAATAGCAGAATAAATGAGGCAGAAGGATTGGTAAGTGAGCTGGAAGATAGAACAGCATAAATTATTGCCATGGAACTGAATAAAGAAAAAATAATGGAAAAAAACAGAGGATGGTCTCAGAGACCTCTGGGACAACACTAAACACAATTTGCATTACAGGGGTCCCAGAAGGAAAAAAGAAAGGACCTGAAAAAGACATTTGAAGAGATAATAGCTGAAAACTACCCTATTATGGGAAACAAAACAGTCACACCCAAGTCCAGGAAGCACAGAGAGTCCCAGGCAGAATAAACCCAAGGAAGAACATGCTGAGAGACACAGTAATCAAACCAACAGAAAATATTAATACATTATTGACTAGGAGACTTCTGCAGAAACTAATACCTGTGGCTGGCAATTTCTGATGTAAGTGAATACTGAAATGT